TTCAAAAATCGGCTCATAGAATTTACCGCTAAAGATTTCTTGAATTTTCTACCAGAAAATATTAGCCTACGGTAGGCATTTAAAAAACTTAACTAAGGGTAATCAAGTGTCGTGTAGTGTATGCAAAATTTATAATTAATTTGATTCCCAATACGGTATTTATGGTTACCATGTAAAAAGTGAGCACAATAATTGGTAATAAAAAATTAGAACTACATTAAAAAGTAATAAAATTCGCTAAAATTTGCAAGCAAACTAAAACAACGTAATTTCAACAGCAACCGCGCATAAAAAATCCTAAAAATTCATATCTCGTAAATCGTCAACAAAATGAAATCATTAATTCCACGCTTTGAATACAATTTCCCCCAAAAAAAAAAAAAAAAACAACGAAAGAACATAAAAAGAAAAGTAGGTACTAAAAAAATACACATATGGCTATTTGCACACAAGCAGCACAAAAAACGAAAGCAACAACAGCAACACTTCACTAAAAACCACACAAGCCATAAAAAATGTTATACACACAAAAAATATTCAGCAGCGTCGAGCAGAGGACAGCGACGCCTGATTAACTGCATTGTTGCGTCCGAGCAGAGCAGGCAAAAAGTGAAGAGAAAAGCAAAGAACAAGTCGAAAAAAACGACAGAATTGCGCGCTTAAACGGCAAACACATGTAAACAAAGCGCGAGGCGCACGAAAGCAGCATCGCCGCATGTGGCCGGTCAGTCAGCCACTCATGGCGTCGGCTCGCTGTCCGCAGCCGCAGCGGTAGCGGTCGACGTCATCGTGCGAGGGAGCGTCAAGTGGACATAGGCGGCGTGCGAGAGAGAATCCAGAGAGTTCGACGATAAAAAAAAAGAACAATGCATAAAACAGGCAAACACGCACGCGGTACCGGTGCTGCCGTTTTCTATTTTTTAGAGTAGTAAAAAACGCAATTTTTGGGGAGTATATTCACTTTTTGGGCTATGTGCCCCAAATGTTTGTAGAACTCTTTAAAATTAACTAAAGGTCACTTCAAGCCTCATAAGAAATAGGTTCTCGGGAATATGACATACTCGTGGGTAGCAGGTCACATGGGATTCTTGTTAATTTGGTTAACCCTAGAAACATGAACCTACTGAAAAGATAACCATACGTCTGTGAGACGTATGCTTGCCTTAATTTTATGGTAATACAAATTTTATAAAATTTTTTTCAAAGATATGGAGTCTTTAAATATTAATTTATAATTTAAATGCATTTTATTTAAAAATATTCTTCGTTTAAAATGGAAATACCACCGATTTCAATCTACTTTTCACGAAAAAGAGAGCGAAACGTTTAAAAAGTATACCTCACGCAGACGTAGGTTAAGAAGCACTCAGATCAGGTATATCTTAGCCCACAAGCAATTTTAGCACTTACTACAACCTGGGACGCTTCAAGGGGTTGCTTTATTAAGTAAGGAGGATAGCAGCCAACTTTTGGAGCTGATAATTGGCCATCTCTGGAGGCACAAACCGCTGAATGCGGTTGGAATAAATTACGACATTATTTTCCCTTCCTGCCTTGAAGACGATGAGACGGATGTCACTTGCAACAACATGCAACAACAAAGCTAGCTAGCACGGATAGACGATAGCGAGTTTGGTTATACCTCACTGAGTTCGTTCGTTTCGCCACTCGCTAACTGTTGGCGAATCGATGACGGCTATTATAGCATAAGAGCTGTGCTACTTCGGACCAACATAAAAAGTTTTCCTCAAAGAGTAAAGAATGGTAAGTGTTTTATACCCTATGGCTGCGTTTCTTTATACATTCCGGATAATCCAATTTCACAGCCGGAATAAACAGAATGCGTTTGAAATATACGTCAACATATCATCAGGAATGTTCTAAAGAATAAATAAACAAAAAAGTTTATTCCAAACGTTCAGAATGAATAAAGAAATTCAGCCTATATATATCATCGTTTTATAAATTTTAATAAAAATGTAAACTGTCTTGCAAAAACGTAGTGTTATCGGCCCTAGTAAAAAACTGCTATCGCATTACCTTCGGCAGCACTGGCGGGCACACACACACAGACAGTTGATCCGAAAAAATGAAAATGTACATAAACATGTAGAAAAAAGACGCAATAAGGAGTACAACAGAGAGACCAGCAAGCCAAATAAAGTGTATATAAAAAATGGTTAGAAGAAAATTGAATGAGGCGAATGAAATTATGCAAAACGAAATTGTGCAAAAGAAATAAAAATGTACTCAAGTGATGAACGTTCGCGGGCAATGCTGGTGGTGGTGGCGGCGGCATTTGAATGATGAATGATGGTCGGTCGGTGGGTGTGGGCAGGAGGGTGTCGCGATGACGACTATGGCTTACATATTCGTATGTTTGTATGCTTGCCGCGACAACTGTAAGCGATGAAAGAGACACACACATACATACATATGTAATAGGTATGCGCGCAAAAAGCAGAAGGCGAGCGCGAAATGAATGAACGTACGCGGCGCCGACACGCGCGTATGTTTTTTTTCTGATAATTTTTATTTCATTTATGAATTTCTAGCCACATGTGTGAGTGTGCAAATATTTAATGCATATTAATTTGCGTGAATTTTTGTTTGTTTGTTTCTGAAACGATCTGTGCTTTTGCTTAGCTATGAGCGTTTAGTAGCACATACTTGTAGTAAGTAGCGCGAATTGCTAATTTTGGAAATGGCCGATTAGCATTTTCGATTGCGTTTGTGCGGTAGGGGGGCCCGAGAGCATTGATTGCTGTATGCCTAATAGCGATAAGAATTGGAATTATGAACTTGCACTAGAAACAAGCGTTTCTTCATATTTATACAGTTGATTTTTATTTAGAAACTTCAGTTGTATCCGCGAATGATCAAATAACAACGGGTATAAGTCAACCAATCCAAACTTAAATTCCGTTATTCGGAGTTGTTTTATGTACATATGTATTTCGCTGCGACATTAAATCAATGAAATTTTTGCAAACAGAGGCCTCTGCATGCTTTCCAAGCTTTGCAATTCGATGGGCAACTTCCTCTTATGTTGTCGTTGTAACAACATACTAGCAACAGTTGTTGACAAGGTATAAATATACAAAAGTAGTTTCTACTTAGACCCAACAGTCGTGGAAAATATCGTCCTCTTATTGAAGCCCTTACTGTATTCTACAAAGTTTCAATCGAATTTAAATTCAAACCACTCTTTACATCTTACATAATGGAACATTTTCGAATTGTAGTGGTGTCTAAATCAAGATTTGATTTAGTTTAGATTGGTTTCGATTCGATATTCGTCTTCACTGGAGGCGTAATTTTTGACTCTCAATCCTGAAGGGAGTGTTCTATCCCGTCGGCCGTCCATTGCTTTGCATACGTACAAAGTATAATGTTCCATAACGCCGAACTACAAAATATTGACAATGTATACTTTTCCAAAACGGATCCGAAAAGTTATCGAAACCCATCGCTAGAGCAATCAGCGCATCAGAAGCAAAGTTGATGCTTCGTTTGTTATTGGTTATCATTGGTATTTTAAAATTGGAAAATTCAGAAAAATTGTTCATTGCTATATTGAATATTTAAAATATGCAAGGTATATGGTTGCAATGTGTCGCAACTCTGCATATGCAAACAGTTTGAATACCGCAGTATAACAGTATCGAAACATTGTGTTGATACGTTTTGGAAGTCAGCCTATCTAACGCTAGTTGGAATGCTGGGAGAGATTACCATCAGGGCAAAAAGTTATCTTGTGTTTGACGTAATGGGCTGATGTGTTACGTATGACGGAAGCGTATACATATGTACTTTCGAAGAAGACCAAGATCTATCAATATGGTAGGTTCTATGCGTGAGCATATATAGACAACTCAAAAATAACACTGAAAATAACATAAAACTTCTTTAGTTTTGAAGTTAGTTTTTAAAAGAGCGAGTCTAGATCCACCGTATTGTATTAGGTGCTATTTGTAGGAAACCAAATCTTTTTTAGGCCGAAGATAATGGAGTTATCATTTTGTTATGATGACTTCCAGACTCAGTTCACTATCTTATTCTGCTATCCCTTCGTGACTTTCATAGGTGCTTTCACATTTTTACTCGTTTAGTTGAGGGAGAGTGGGCGAACAGTTTGTGAATTGGTGTAGAGAAGCGGAGATTACCTTTTGTTATGAGTATTTACATATTGGGGATTCCATTGGAATAGTCATGCTTCGGTTGGGATAATTAAAGGGTGTGGATAGGCGTGATTATCAAATTGTAACCATAAAATAGTCACCCCCGCATGAATCTATGTATGTAGAGCCCCTGGTTAGTTTGTTAGCAGTTGCTTACTACAGAGTTCCAAACATACCACGGGAGCCTGGTATGAGCAATGCCTCCACAGTAGGAGCGTTGAGGATTGTGTGATGTGCCAAGTTGGGTTATCGTTAGCCATGGATGGCCATGCCAGCGGCTTACTACTTCACTTTATACTTACATAAAAAATCAATATCCCATTATGCACTTGCGCGTGAGTGTATTCGGAACACTCGGTTGTGTAAGGGTAATGCGCAAGCCGCCTGAACATAGAGTCACACTTCTTTTCCACTCCACCTTATTCTAGATTATGCCCCTTCAGTAAAAAAAAGCGTTGTTTTATCTCTCCTCTAACAGGCGCAATCTGATTTTCTAAGCTTGTTTTCTGCCCAAATCGCCTAGGTATAGTGCGACGGGAGGAAAAGAGAGTTATCGGACGATAGATCTCGCCTATGTCGGACGGTTTGCCAGTTTTCAGTGGTGTGGCAACTTCCACATTTCCAAATATCAGGAAGGATAAGAAAGAAATTTGACAGATTGAGAACATCGGTGAGTTATTCTACTTCCGTTGGACGAAAGCCGGTGCTACTCACCGGTATGGCTCGAATTTTACCGCATTTACAGCTTATGTTTCGGCCATAAACCTTAATAATTAAGAACAAGTTTAACAATAAATACGAATAAAATTAAATACTAACCAAAACGCAAGTATCCAAACAGTTCTAGAAAGCAGTGAGCGAAAGGTGGTGAATAGTTTGGCGCTTTTCTGTTGACAAAGTTCAGTAGCAGCGCCACTAATTAATAAAAGCACGTGGTATCGCAAACTGTGTACAATTTCCTCTCAGGTACTTTCTATAGTAAACAGCTTTTTGATATTAATAGTCACACGCCAGTGCAGTTTTTCCAACGAATTTTTCAAATGTTCCTTTTTTCAACGTTCCGACAATACAATTTTATTGTTCTTATATTTCGAGCACTTGTTAGTTAGGAAGTTTGTGTTGCTTTCATTTAATGAACTCAGCGTTTTTTTCTCGCGATATCGTCTTTCTATGTTCTCTAATTTGCTTTCGCTTACAACTGGCGCTTATTTCTAGATTTCGTCTTTGCCGCTTTCTTGCGTTGGTGTTGTAGTCGATTTTCAATGCTCGTGGTTTGTTGATTTTCGTAATACTTGCGAAAAAAGTAAGCGACTTTCAGCTCCTCTGCTCCACTTTTTACAAATTCAACGCCTACGCGCACAAATTTACGAACACATTTAGCGAAGAAATTCAACTGGCACTGTTTTTTCTTTGCTGTTGTGGTTTTGCAGCTCCTCCTTCAATTCGATCTTCTCTCTACTTTCCTTCTACATTCATTCTTTGTTTTCGGGCACACCGTCGCACGAAATACGAAAAAACGCGCACACATACAATTAGCTACAAAAAACTACGCGTACTAAAAAAAATGGCCGCGCTTATTGGCACTGCTGATTGCTCCCAAAATATGTATGTAAAAAATATATTTTTAAAATTTTTTCTACTTTGCAAAAACACGTGCGAAGAATGCATACAACAACATCGAGTTTGCGTGCAATTTTAGTTTACTTTGTTTGTGTTTTTTTTACTTCAAGTAGAATGTTTCCAATTACAATTTCTTCTTGTTGCTGTAACTTTTTGCTAACAACACACAAATATACACAAACACTCACAGTATAAGTTTACAAGTCGCGCCTACTACCCAAAGACCGTGTCCGCTCGCTGTCAAAGCAAAAACTTGACTGTCGCTACCAGCAAAAAAAATCACATCACGATTTTTTCAAATTAGCTGCTGCTGCTCTGTTGGTTGCGCTGCTGCGACGCGCAGCTACAACCGAGTGAAGGCAGCGAAGACACTGTTGCTGTTGGCGCCTGATATGCGGCAGCGTGATAGAGAGAGGCAGAGTGAGAGAAATCGACTCTCATGTAATGCAGGCTGCAGTGTTGTAAGTAAACATTCATTAGGGCGGTATGCAAATTTGTTTGATTTTCGTAGGGCTGGTCCAATTTATGTATTTGGATAACCGGTCGGATATTCGTGTATACGTGTAAAATCCGCATATCTGGTTAACTGCGTTATACGGATATTCGAACAAGTGTTTGAACGGATTCGTAAAAAATTTCTAAAAATTACGGAATCTTACGGGTTGCCCAATAAATAACAGAACACTTCATTAATGCACAAATAATTGTATTTTATTGTTGATTTTTATATTCCAAAAACTGGACACGCGCTTAGTATCCGTTAATTTTGTTATCTGGTTATTCGGATAACCGTATAGTCCAGATAGAACTTGCAGCCTTATATTTTGGTGTTGAAGGAATATTTGAAAAAAAAAAATTATACAAACTCTTTGGAAAATACAATTTCTATTTCACATACAAATGCTTCAATGAGTCAGTTTGGATTAGGGTTGTAAATTACAATGAAACTATCTATGTTTCGAACATCGATGGTTGTTCGATGTATCGAATTAAAGGATCGATGTTTTCACCGATGTTTTTAGGAAAGCTTGCCATTTTTTGTCAATGTTATTGTGGCTTGTTAACATTGTATTTTTAATATTTTTATTGAGCTTTGTACCACGATTGTTTATTAGGAAAAATTGAAAAAGCAACAAAGTCTAAGCAGTAGAAGTTATAGCACTATTTCGGAGATCACCACATCTCCGCATCAGACTTCTTTTTTCTAGACTTCAGCAGCATTTTTTATTTTTTAATATTACACACAATTTTAAATTGGACTTACACAGTTTTTGTTAAAGAATGATCTAAATTTGTATAAAAAAATACCAAAAAAATTAAATACGAAAAAAGAAATTGTTAAAGCTTGTCAATATGTAGTGGGTTAATATTTTTTGAAACGAGGTGTAGTAATAATGTAATGTATTAAAATTTTGGATTAGTTCTACCTACAAGTTGTTTTTGCGGCCCGCCAGCTTTTAGCCCAAATACCGAAATGTCTGGAAATAGTGTGGATTAGGTTAGGTTAGCGAAGCGTGTGGAAAGCCTTCGTACTTGCACTGGGTGGCATGATTGACCATTATCAATGCTCTATATGAGTGCCAGTAGGAGGTACATCCCTCTAAGCGGTGTTATAACAAAGTGTCATAGTGTGTGTTAAACCAATTATTTTCCCAAACCAAATTGAGGAAATTTGATAGTTCTTCCTTTATCTCTTTCAAGTTGGGGGGAAAATTAAATTTCCAGCGTTTAAGTCGCGTTTTATGGAGAGTTGGCCATTGGAGCTAGTGAATCTTTCCTCCTCATACCACCAATTTCTGTAGAGAGAACTTGTTGGTATAAGCCATACTTGGAATATTGGTGCAATAGCACAGTATCCTGCGTGAACGCCGAAAAGAATTCTTAATGTTGGACTTATTAAACGTCAAAAATTACCCAGTTCATTTTCGTCAAGCCTTGGTCATTTGTTTCTCGAGCTGTACATCTGAGTCGACTGCATTGCCATCTCAATGGCTATCTTGTTCCCTTCTATTTATATTCCTTCCTCCACTTTCTCAGGAAAGCATACTTCTCTATGAAAAAGCTCTGCAGCCTCCAGACAGGCGATATATGTATGTATGTAATTGATTGATCTGCATGTCTTCGAATGAGCGATCGATTTAGGTGTAAATTTCATAATTTCTCTTCGGTAGACCAGCGTCCTCCGCTAAATAGTTTACAATCGTATAGGATTCTTGATGCGGAATTCTCGATATAACTAAAAGTGATCAGCGCCGGCATCTAAACAATTTTGTTCTCTAATTTTAAGCATTCCTTCTAAGTCTGCAACAGTAATGAAGACTTTTCATGATTTTAAATGAAGGATTATTTTCAACCACTTTACCACTTTTTGCCCCAGTTAATGTGTGGATCTTCTTCTGCGAGACACCCTTAAAAAGGGACACGCTAAAAAAAATTTAGGCAGATTTTTTTGCACAACCGCTGAAACATAATGCCGACGAACGGCGAATTTTTCGCTGCGAATGCTCGCTGTAAAAATTAAAACACACAATTGTATTGAGAACGCACACAACCAAGCAAACGACGACGTTCGTCCGACGACTGTTCGCAACGATAGACTTTTTTCTATCGTCGTCACTGGCGGCAGCGGAAAAATACGATCCATGGTGGCCATCTGCTAAATATTCTCAAGTTTTTAAATCGAAAATGAAAAATACTCTATTAGTTTTTGTTAAAAATTAATAATCTTATTGTTTGTAAAAATTTTAATTGTACCTTGTTATAAGCAGCTGAATTCGTTGTCGCCGTAGTTGCGTTTTACTGAGCGAAATTTTTGGGCGAAAGTTGCCGCCCGTCGTCGCACTACTGTACGAAAATTCGCCGTTCGTCGGTGTTGTGTTTCAACGGTAACTCAATTCGTATATATAGGAGTTATGACGAAAGCACGAAATATATAAAGTGTAAAACACAAAACAAAATAAAATGAAAAGATTAACCTCCACTTATACAAAGTATGCGCCAGATCATATACTTTCTCTTTTGTACAGACACGTGCGTGTTCAAAGAGCTTGCTAAAAAAATAGATGGGTGTATATGGACACTAGTGCGTGCAAAAAAATCGTCAAGCTTATCGCATTCAATGTGTCTAAACATTAAATTGACAACAGCAACAAACCAATTTACGTGCTTGACCCTACTTCTATTGCGGCGACATCTGCTGGTTATAACTTGAGATGTGGTACCAACCCACAAGGGCGTCATCTACATGTAGAGTTATGACGTAGTACACCAATTTTTCATGTGGAACTCTGCTAAAATTCGCTTTACCGTTGCGAATGAATTCATAGATCGTAATTTCAAATATTGTTTTTTACGCTCTCTGCTTTTACGTTCTTTAATATCGAGTTTTGTTTTTACGAGATATGGCATACGAAAGATTTTTGCTACAAGCGCAAATATGTTTCAAAAACCACTTGTTCTAAGATAACTTGCTAATTTGATGTCTTAAAATAAAATAAGGCATGCTCGAGTTAGCAAATACTTTTTATGTTAAAATGGAAATTTGTGGGAGTGCTGTAATTCTTCTTCACGTTTATCCCCATTTTTGTTTTTTTGAGTTCACCACCACACCCATTCGCTTTGCTTCTCTATCTAATTCCAAAAATCCCTGTTATTTTTTCCGATAATGTCGTTGTCGTCGGCATATGCAAATATTATACGCTCCTGTAAGGCATTGTGCCTGAGCGGTTCAGTTTTGCGGCTCTTATTATCTTCTCCAATATCAGATTAAAGAAATCACACGAAAATGAGTCACCTTGTATGAAACCCCGTTTGTTATCAAACGGCTTGGAGAGGACCTTGGCAATTCTGACAGAGCTGCTGGTATTGCTCAACGTAAGTTTACACAGCCGTATCAGTATCGCGGGATATCAAATTCAGAGATCTCGACGTATAGGCAACTCCTTTTACTGCTGTCGAAAGTGGCTTTGCAGTCGACAAGAAGATGGTGAGTGTCGATCCTTTTCACCAGGGTATTTTCCAGTTCCTCACCGCCGTACCTGAATAACTCATCTGGCAGGCCGTCAGCTCCAGCAGTTTGTTGTTTCTCAGCCGCGTAGTTCATATTCGAACCTTGTCATAGTCAGGCGGTGCGACATCGACTCCATCATCATCAACTGGGGGTTCGGGTTCATCTTCTCCAACATATCCAGTGCCGCTGCCAGTCAATTGGGTAGAAACGTGTTCCCTTTATAATTTAAATATATTCTGGACATCGGCCATCAGATCATCATGGTTGTTATTACAGGTCTTGAAACCTTAGCTGGTCTTGAAACCTTCCGTAAGTCGCCTAACTCTCTGGTAAAATTTTCGGGCATTTTTCCTTTCGGCCAGCTTCTGAAGCTCTTCGAACTCACATATTTCGGCCTTTCTCTTTTTATTGCGGCTAGTATGTCTCGCTTACCTCTTCGGTTCTCTATAGCGGTCCCACATAGCTCGCATTGCGCCCGATCGCAGCGTGGCCCTGTAGGTGGCAGCTTTTTTTCTCTGCAGCTCCTTGACACTTCTCATCGTACCAGTTGTTCTTTCGGAATCGCTGAAATCCGACTACTTCTTCGGCGGCGATATTTAGGGAGCCGGAAGTGTGGCTTCACTACTCGCGTATATCGGTTTTTTGAAGAGTTCTCTGATAGCCGGTGTAGGAGTCGAGTAGCGAATGCATTGGTCATCTGTTGTGACTGCAAATTTTCGACGTTGAGCTTTCCTTGCATTTTTGGGCGCATAGTTTTTTGCTGCAAAAAGGCGGGTGCGTATCTTGGCTGCAACAAGAAAGTGTTTCGAGTCAATGTTTGGCCTTCGGGGTATACGCATGCCTAAATAAAACACTGGAAATGTATCTTCTGTTTATCAAAACATGATCGATATGGTTTCTCGTTTTTCGAACTTGAGACAGTCTTTATGTAACTTTCTGGAGCTTTTTATGAATGAACTTAGTAGTACGATGAAGGTGATCAACCTCAGTCCGTTGTTGGACCGAATTTGCGCTCCTTTACGTGGCAACTGTAGTAGACGTCGCAATGCTCCACGTTTACCTTGTCTTGCCCCATCCATCGCAATCTTGGATGACGGAGATGTCAGCCCATGTCTGCCCGAGGACATCAACCAATCGGGCAGAGGCACCTTCCCCATTAAGGGTCCGGATATTCCAGGTGCATACCCTCAAGTCTTTTATACATACGAGGAGTCTCATCCGAGGCATGTTTTTCTTTCATTCTTTTTTCATTGCGT